GAGATTATCCACAGACTTCTGGTGGAAACATAGAACGGCCGATCCTGAACTTTAACTTTCTCCTGAGTCTTCAACATCAACAAGATGAGTCAAGATTATTTAGAGGACAACTTAATATGAAAATAAAGTCAATATAATACAAGCATAGAGTTAAGATAGTCCATAATCTAAAAATAAACTCCAAATTTTACAAATATATAAATATAGACTTAAAATATGAAAATAAAGTCAAAATATGAAACCAGTCATTACAATAAAGTCATAATATCACGAGAATAAATTTGTAGCAATGCCAGGATAATGTAATAATGTAAGAATAAAGTCATACAGCAAAGTCAGAATAATACAAAAATAGTCATTATGTGAACAAAGTCGTAATAAAGCCAGAGTAAAGACACCGTTGGTGTAGCTTGTTGTTTTTCTGTTTCTTATCTGTGTTTGACGACCACCAGCTGTTCTCTGCTGCAGCACATGAACCTGTTTTCAGAAAATAACCAATCAAGGCCGAGTTCTGCAGATGATCACAGAGGTTTAAACGTTTGGATCTTTCTCTCCATGTTTCTGTCCTGCAGAATAAAGCGTTGTAAGGATTATTACGAAGTTCTGGGTGTGAACAAAGAAGCCGGAGACGACGACCTGAAGAAGGCGTACAGGAAGCTCGCTCTCAAGTTCCACCCAGACAAAAACCACGCGCCAGGAGCAACGGAGGCCTTTAAAAGTAACTCACTCCAGACGCGCTGGAGAAACTGTTTCATTTGTTTCCTACATGCAGATCAGCTTTTGTCTACTTTAATACACATTGTTATAACGCTTCGTTGGAAAATTGGAGCAAAATTATGCATTTTTAATTTAACGTTTCACTGATAAATGGATTCATAATAAAATTGTAAAGTGAAACTTAAATGATATAGATTTATAAACACATTTTATGTGTTTAGTTTTTTTTAAATTTCTGTCATTATGACTTGGAAGCAATAAAAACCCAAAATTTTGATTCTGAGAAAACTGCAATGTTACATCAGGTCAATAAAACGTTACTTTTAACATAGAAATGTTAAAGGGACAACTGTTGAGCTTTAGCCATATGGAAAGTTAAGTGGAAGGATAAACTGAACACCTGATCTTCATTTCACAACTGATAGAAGAATAAATCTGTTCTTTTTTCTTCCTGGTGACCAGGTAGTGTCACAACCTGTAACCTGCTGGATATACGCTGCTTTCCTCCCTTCAGAGATTGGGAATGCGTATGCGGTTCTGAGTAATCCGGCGAAGCGGCGGCAGTACGACGTGACGGGTGGGGAGGAGCCCAGCAGCCCGAGCCAATCCCACGGCGGCGGCTTCGACTTCCACCGCGGCTTTGAAGCCGACGTCACGCCTGAAGACCTCTTCAACATGTTCTTCGGCGGCGGCTTCCCGTCCTGTAAGAGAACAGTCCATGAACGCACCGTTGGTCTCATCGTTGCTACGGAAACACAATTCACCAACATTAGCCTCTTAATGCCTGAATTTATATCCAGTTTTACAAAAACAATCTAATACTTGTTTTTTTTATTGGACATTAATTTGAACATTGCACCCACCATTAAATTTAATTTGGGTTTGATGCTAATTAGATCCACTGGGCGTTTAAGGAATGAAACTCTTTTCAATCTGATTGTGTTGATTATTTTACTGATGCTGCTTTTGTTCAAACAAGACTTTGAAACTGAGTGAAAATTTAAGCAACTGTTGTTTGTTTTTAATAATTACAGTGTTTCTAATACAGATAAATACCACAAAGTGTTCCCTTTACTGAACCATCCTATAAGCTTTTATCCCCTGTTCCACTATAAAAAGTGTATGATGATGATAATTCATCAACATTTATCTATTATTTCTTATCCTCTACAGTAATCTTCTGATTCCAAGTTGCATAGTCAAAAATAAATGTGGTAATTACAAAGTAAACGTTTTTTTTAAGTTATATTTGATAAATGACTTTAATAGCACCCCAGGATAACACAATAACACATAATTCTGCCTGTTTAACATCAGATATTGCATCGGCCCAGATTTCCATATCGGTGCATCCCTGATTACCAATCTAGGAACAAATCTTTTGTTTCCCTCATGATTTCTGTCAGGATGGTTGTTAGATATTTTATGCTAACATAGAGAGCTGCTGTTGTCTGGACAACATGGCGGCCGGTTTCTGACCCCAGCTGTGATGTTCTGTCTGCAGCCAGCGCCCACACGTTCACCAACGGCAGGACGAGCTACAGCCATCACAATGACTTCCGCCAGGAGAGGACCGAGGAGCGAGGAGATGTACGCCGACTCATTTCAGATTGGTTTCGGTCTCAGGATCGCCTCCATCTTACAGACGTCGTCTGTTTCCCTGCAGGGCGGCTTCTCGATGTTCATCCAGCTGATGCCCATCGTGGTTCTGATTTTAGTGTCGATTCTGAGCCAGATGATGGTTTCCCCTCCGCCGTACAGCCTCTACTCCAGACCGTATGTCTGCACGCAGCTGGGTTTCTAATCTAACTTTTAAAATGTCACAGAAAAGAAGATGGGAATGTTTCTGTCTACTGGGAGCGAACCAGTTAGGCTAAAACGTGTAATTTCATCAGATGCTACGCATGGCTGTAATAAACAGAAACTAAGCTGGTACAGAAGCTGGAGCGGGCCATATGGACTTAGTTTCATTACGATATTTTGTGCCACTATTGAGATAATGATAAATAAGAACTGAAACACAAATACTCCGTCATGAAAACTAATTTTGCTGGACGATAAATTGTCCCAATAATATTGTTTATTTCAATTCGACACAAAGTTGAGTTGAAATAATCATTCTGTATATTTTTTATTTCAAATATTTTGTTTGAAATTATGAAATAATTTATTTTGTATGTTCCAGTAAAATATAATTTTCTGTGTAACAAATACACAAAATACAATTATTTTGCATATTTCTAAAATAAATAAAACTTATTTTGAAAATTAAATTTTACAAAATATAATTTTGAGAAATTATAGTACATTTAAATATAGAAATTATATTATTTTTATTATTACTAGTAGTTTCATTGTTTTTATAAAAACTGAAGGAATTTGATACAATGTGAAACCTTTAAAATTGTTTTAAGTAAATGTTAGATTTGTCTACATCATCTTTTCCTATTGTCAGTTGCATAATTTAAACAAAATCTCCAAACCGCTTCAATAGAAAAATTGGTTTCTGAATTAAAAATAGTTTCTGAATTAAATCGTGACCCTAAAAGTGATAATCGACTCACTTGACTCCGACAGATTTGCATCTCTATTGTCTGGTAAAAAAAATATGCTTTGTGCAAACATCTAAACATATCGTAGTGTTTTAATTAATGGAGTTTTATAAGTTAAACTAAATATTTTTGTGTTGTCCTCCATCTTGTTCCAGGTCGACGGGTCAGACCGTGAAGAGGCAGACGGACAACCTGCGTGTCGATTACTACGTCACCCGGGATTTCAAATCGGAGTTTAAAGGCTCGGCTCTGCAGCAAATAGAGAAAAACGTAGAAGACGACTATGTGACGAACGTCAGGAACACCTGCTGGAAGGAGAGACAGACGAGTCAGTAACCGGCACTTTGTCCTCCAACGTCTCCTTTGTTCTCGCCATCTTAACGCTGTTTTCTCGTGCAGAAACGGACCTGCTTTACGCGGCGAAGGTCTACAGAGACGACCGCATGCGGAAGAAGGCGGAGCTTATGACGATGGAGAACTGCAAGGAGCTGGACAGACTAAACAACCTGTTCCGAGGCGGATGAGATTGTAGAAAATATGAATATATGAATACGTTTGTTTTTTTTTAAAACAGAGAGGCTTTACGATAGGAGCAAAAGATTATTAAATTATTTAAGGTTAAAAGCGTCTTATTCTTTGCGAACGGCTCTTCCTCCTCATTCCAGCCTGATCCCAGGAATCGCCTTGTTGCATCGTAACGAACCGGACTGCACACTGACCGATACTCCAGACTGATTTTTATTGAGCCAGAAGAACCCGGACGTCTGGTTGTAGATTTAACGGTGAGATTTCTGCGTCGTTTTTGAGACGATCTTCACTGACATCCATATCGTGAAGGAGCAGCAGAATCTGGATGTTTTTTTTTTTTTTTTTGTCGAGAAAATTTGAGTTGTTTGATTTTCTTCTGCAAAATTGAATTCAGGTTGAAAGTGGGAATTGGCACACAACACCTTCATCCATTAATGGTTGTACACTTTCATTTCTGAATGTTTAAAAGTTTTGGCACTTAAGTAACTCTAGAAGAAACTAATTTTCTCTTCAGTGCTGGCCTGATCATTTAAATAAAGTCAAACTGGTACTGTAGTCTGGATTTAAAGTGTTTCTCTGCTTCTATATCTGTGTTGATTTTCCTGGAGTTTGATAAGAAGTGATGTTTTTTCCTGCAAATGATTGGATTCCTCGAGGTTAATAAGGATACGAAGAAGCATTTTTATAAAGCTATGTTTATCAGTGGGATTAAAGTCAAATTTCTGATTTTCTCAAAAGCTAAAACCAATTAGTCTGAATTTATTTTCAATGTGACATCCGTCCAGCAGGGGGTGCTGTAGCACACTTTTTACACAGAGAAACAATATTTTACCTGAAATATTAAATTTTGCAGGCGGAGGCAGCTGAGAGAAAATGTTTTGATTAAATATATTAAAGTTATAAACCTGCATTTTAATGCTAACGCTTGCTTCTTTTCCTTTTCTATATGGAAGAGGATTAGAGCTCTGGGATGGATGAGAAGTTTATTTTTTTTTCTTTTTTTTTTTTTTTTTCCAAATTTCTAGCTTTAATCTGACAATTTAGAATTTTTATAATGAATTCTAATTTCAGAATTCCAGCATATTTTCTCTAAGAATTCTGACTTTTTTCTTCTAATTTTCGTCTTCAGAGTTTGACTAATTTCAGAATCCCGACTTATTTTCCTCGGACTTCTGAGATATAAATCCCTAATCATCTTCCATACTTTGATCGTTAAGCGTCAGGATTTTTGCGCCGCTGTGAACTTTGGGTAATGTAGTTAGTGAATAACAACCATCAACAAATAACCGCTTTTAAACACAGTTACTGTTAAAAACGTTACTCTGATGCAAGACGGAAACTTCTCTGTGACGACTCCCAAAGTGACGACATTGTTTGTCCAGGATCACGTGACATTGGATACCCGGAAGTAATGTCACAACTGATAAATGTCTGATCGCTGGTTTGTTTTTAGCTAAAACATGTCGGACCAGAGCTGAACCGTGACATGACAGTCGGAGCGGGAGGTCAGGCAGAACTTCAGCTGACATGATGGGTCCAGGTACGTTTCTGTCCGTCCCGGTCCTGCTGCTCGGTCTGCTCTGCTGCTGCTGCGGACGTTTCCCAGATGTTTCTGCCTGTGAGAAAGAACCGGAGACCCCGGACTGGAGGATGACTCTGAGAACCATCCGAAACGGGATTCACAAGATCGACACGTACCTGAACGCAGCGCTGGACCTGTTCGGCGGAGATGACGGACTCTGTCGGTACAGATGCAGCGACGGTGAGTTTGAGGACTTCACGGCCATTTTTCTTTGGTTTCATGCCAGTGTTAAACCAGTTACGAGTGCTTCTGTTTAAAAGAGTTCAAAAAACATAAAATTATCAGTGAGCTGAAACCCGGATTTTCCGTTGGCTAAAGCCAGCGGTGTCCAAAGCCTGGTCGGGGAGCCATTTGCCACCCTTGGAATCATTTTGTGTGAACCTGGACATTTTTTTTTTATTAAGGCAAACATCTGAGATGTTTTTTTTTTTCTACGATTATGATTTAAAGTCATTGTAAAAAGAAAAAAATGAGTACATTTTTGCCAGAAATCTCAGAAATGTTGATATTAATCTCAGACATTTTGTAGAAAACACATGGAAACTTCTGAGCTACAAAAGACAAAAATTGGTGAGAAACTCTGAAATTTTTAGTTTAATCCCAGAAATGTTTTAGAAAAAACAAGGACATTTCTAAACTTCAAAAGTCAAAATTTGCTAGGAAAAAAAAGAAAATTTTCTATTTTTGAAACTCAGATTTTAATTATTTTTCTAGAAAGGTTTTGAGACTAATCTCAAATTTCTGAGTTTTTTGTTGGAAATGTATTCCTTTTTTTCTTCTAACCATAATGAAAATGTGCTATATAAATAAAATTACCTTACCTTACCATAATTGCCGTTTTACAATGCTGTATTTTTTGGATATAAAATAATTTTAACTTTTCTACTTTACCTTAAAATATTGCATGTATGATTTTTGAAAATGTATATAAAAAATATTTAATAAAATTATTTAGCAATTTTAATTGGGCAAAGATTATGCAGATCTGTGAATAATTTCAATTTGCCAATAAAAGTCTGGACACCTCAGGGTTAAAGATAGAAAACAGCAAAATAATTTTGTAGATCAAAGGTGTCAGTCAGGACAAGGAAACAAAAAATAATCCACATTATTCTTTACCATGGTATAAAGACAGTGATTACTATTTGAACAAATTCTGTCAAGCCAGACAAATATTGAAAAGTGAATTTATTCCAGTGTCTCATTTCAACGCAGCAGCTTTTTTCCTTCTGTGTGTCAGGATTCAAGCCGACGCCTCGTCCCGGCTACAGACACCCCCCACCCAACGGATGCGGCTCCCCGCTTTTTGGATTTCATGTAATCTGCTTCAAATACGCTTAGTTTTCCTGTGAGTCCAGCAAACCCAGTGACTGTGCTGTCGTTTCCAGTTCGACCTGGGAATCCCGTCCATGACCAAATGCTGCAACCAGCACGACCGCTGCTACGACAGCTGCGGCCACCTGAAGCATGACTGTGACGATCAGTTCCAGGACTGCCTGGAGACCATCTGCAGGAACGTGCAAAGGACTCTGGGATTGGCCCAGACGGTCCAGGGTAAGATGTCGGCCTGGAGGTCGCCTTCTGCTGCCATCAGAAAACTTAAAGCTGCAGTTTGTAACTTTTATAAAAATGTGTTTGTTTTTACATATTTGTTAAAACAGTTACCATCTTGTGACTGTGAAAACATTTCACATTCTGTGAAAACATTGATCTCTTCCACCTGTTCCTTGAGCTATTGCTGTCTGAAGAAATGCACTGCTCCCTCCAAGCAAATCAGAGCCAGGAGGCGGGTCTTATCGCTGTCAATAATCCTCAAGTACTTACTACAAAATGTGCTAATGGCAAAGAAACAACTTACAGTTCAGGAAAAGTATTTCTGAACTGTCAGTGCTAACAGGATCTGCTGTGGGTGATTGTCAGCGCTAAGACCCGCCTCCTGGCACTGATTTGTTTCTAGTTAGCACTGAGAGAAGGCAGAGGAGACTGATTATTTTTCATAGATTTGTTTCATAACTTGTTTTATGATATGGTGATGGTTTCAACAAATATGTAAAAAAAAAAGATGTATTTGTTTTTGTAATTTACATCTCTGATCATGTTGAATTTTTAGTTCATATCACAATTAAGGAGCATGTTTTTGTCTTTTTTTAAAATCACATCTTTTTTTTAGTCTCATAATTATTTTTCTTGAAAATTTCAGATAATCCAGTTGTTTATAACATCTGTAGAAACTTTATAATAAACTTTCAAACTATTTCTTGTTGCCATAGGACTGAAAGCTGCAGGTTAGTTTTAACTCTTGCAATATTGATTGTGGCCACTAGATGGAGCCAAAACTTTATTTTAAATGTCATCAGGTTCTTATGAGCTGAAATTCAGATCTAACAGCCAGATATTTTTTTTGTTGTTAAAAAATATTTCAAACTATTCAAGGAAGTATTAAATTATTTAATACACTTATCCTGAATTTTCTGCTGATCCTTCTGCTGTTTTTCTGCAGCGTGCGAGTCAGCAGTCAAGCTCCTCTTCGACGCCGTCATGCACCTGGGCTGCAAGCCGTTCCTGGACAGCCAGCGGGAGGCCTGCGTGTGCCAGTACGAGGTGAAGAAGGAGCTCTGACGCCTCTGCAGAAGAACACAGACTCTGAAATCCGATGCCGGATAAATAAACTTTTCTGAAAATGTGTAGATTTTTCTCAGGGATGTAGCCTCTTTGGCTAAAACTAAACACTGCAATGCAAAGTGAATGTAAAATAAAAAATAGTTTCTTTTAGGTGGTAGCTAATATTTGTCCCTTTGCAATCCACTATTTATATATCTATTGTTGTAAAGCCAGAGGTTTCTGTGGTGAAATTAAAACTGGTTTCATTCATGTTTTGACTGGACACTACATTTTAACAAACAGTAAAAAGGGTTTTACAGGGTTCAAAGGTCAGCAATAAAGCACACACCAATTTTCTGCAATGTCTCGTAACAAACAGTGTCGCTTTTCATTCTGGATTATTCTCGCATGTTGCATCGTTCTTGTAATCTCTGTGAATTTACCATGGGGTCAATGCTCAAATGAATTAGAAACACTGATAGGTGGGTGGTATTGTAAGACATTTAAGACAAAAAGATACTTTTTTCAGATTTTTTTTCTTGATTTTGAACAAAATAGCAAATGAGCAGAAAATCAAAGATTAATTAGGAAAAACATATAGAAATCAGCCAAAGGCTCACTTAACATTAAATAAATATTGTCCTGTTTTTGTGTTTCATTCTTTTTTGATTACGCTTCTGTGGAAAACAGAAAAACAACCCTGTCCCACCGTTGGGTAAATAAAATGAAAAGAAAAGCAAAAGCCATGACTATTAAAATATAAAAACTTTGTATTCCACCAAATATTTTGTATATTAAATTTTCAAATAAAACAACATGCTGTGTTGCTGGCCAAATATATAGCATTCTTGGCTTCACAAAATCAGTTAAGCTACCACAATCTGGTCCCTGAACCCCGCTTTGGAGACCCCTGCTTTAACTGAATGGATATATATGGTGAACTGATGATATTTTTAAAACTCCAGTGTCGCTGATAGATTTTTAAGCTCCGTAAAACGCTTTGTGCGATTGCGCCAGTCGCTTCCGTAAACCTGTAAGTTTTTAATTCGAGATAACCAATCGTTCTCTCCTGTTTCAATTTACAGCCAATCACATCGCGGGGGCGGGACTAAGTGTAAGCTAGTTTTGCTGGGTGTTTGAGGAAGCAGCTTTTAATCTCCCACTCCGAGCCAAGACGAAAAGTCAACATGTCAGGTAACAATGCAGGTAAAAAAACAACTTTATTACATCTTTATGTCTTAAATCTGAAACTATCTAAAAAAAAACTTAACTTTTTGGTAACATTTAAAGTCATAAAAACCACGGAACTACGTTACATTTACGCTTAAAATGGGTTCCCAGATGTTTACTGTGCTGTTTGGTTTCATGTTTCAGTTAATCTCAGCATGTTGTAAAACACCAGTCACAGAAATAGCTAGTTTTTGCCGCATTTTAAAAAGAGTTTTACATGTTTTTTTTTTTCTTTCTCAGTGTGTGTTAAACAGGTTTAGGAATGTAAAACATTTTTATGAGATTTGTTTTTCCTTCCTCACCAGGAAGTGTGTCCACAGCCACAGACAGCGTGGGTGAGCAACCACTACATGAATGACCTCTTAAAAATAAAAGCAAAACTAAAATATCACATCAAATAACTTTTATTAAACTTGACTGACTTTTTATGACTTAATAAAGACAATGACATATTAGTGAATTTCACAGATTATAAAGTATTTTATCAGACTTTCAGAAGAGTTTTTATTGTGCTGAAATCATTTATGACCAAATTAAATGGATATTTTAACATACTGACAACACATACACTGCAGAAAACTGCACCTATTTATTAAAGCAGGATCTGTTTTTACTTTTTTCACTTTGAGCTAAATCTGTGCAGCCGTGCAGATCACTGTCATCTTTAACTCACTAAAACTGAAACGCTAATCCAGTAAATCCTGATTCACTGGCACTCTGTGGTGGAAGTACCTCTGTTCATTGCAACACAGGGAAAACCAAACATCTTTACAGGATAGAGGTGGAAAGCACCGGAATGTTTAGCTGTAATAAATGCTGTTCAGATGCAGTCACCCTCCTGCAGCAGGGGACGTGCAAAAACATGCATGTATATGAAAACACAACTGTTTTCTGTTTGACATTATGCTGCGTTTTTACTACAGATGTGCAAAAATCTTTGTCGATTTTCTGATAGTGTCGACAAAACACAATTTCACATTTGCAGTATGTTGATTAAATAAATGAATAAATTTTATATAAGTTCATAAAATCAAGCTGTGCCAATGACATCGTTATATATTATATATAGATGATACTATGTCTGTGCTCATGATCCTCTAACTACTTCCTGCTGTCGGCGTCTTTGTTGCTTGCACCAGTGACAACATCCGGTTGATTATGTGACGATATGAAAAAGTGTTTCAGTTGCAGTTTTGAGAAATATATCTATTTTTATTCTGCTGAAAAACCACACAATAGTGCAAAAATATTTATCGATAAATGTATTTGTTGTTTTTTTTTTAAATTGGTGTGTTTCCATTAAGCACATTTATTTTTGTAGTTTCAATTTGCACAATTTTACAGATAATGGAAACGCAGCTACTGAGTAATTGTGGGTATGGAACTGAACTCCTTCCTCAAAAATGGGACTTATGTGAAACATTTAAGTGTAAGAAAAAAAACTAAACCTTGATTACGATCAGTGACTAAATGTGTTGAGTTGCTGCAAACTGCTGATTTAGTTGAATTTGAAAGTTTCCGTCATCATTTCTGCATCCCAGCGACATTTTCTGGATTAAACCTGGTTTTAATCCTCACGTGATTCGACTTGCAGGTGAGATTGTCAAGCGAAAAAGTAAAGTTATTATCCGATTATTAAACAATTATTTTCCCATAGGGTTGAAATAATTCATTCAACAATCAATAATTGATTGATTGAATTCAAAAATACTTTATTTATCCTAAGGGAAATTAAATGCTGTAACTAATATCATCCAAGTTGATGGATGATATTAGTTACTGATGCCTACAGGACACTGTAGGCATCAGTATCCTGCCTACAGCCAGATACTGATGGCTGTAGGCAGGAAAGATCTCCTGTAGCAGTCTGTATTACAGGAGATCTGAAGAAGCCTCTGACTGAAGACATTTAAGCTTTGATTAGAAAAATTCACTGGAAACTTAACAATAATAATAATAATAATTGGAGGCGCCTTTCAAGCTACCGAAAGAGGAAAACAAGAACAGTAAAAGAGAAACTAAATAATAAAAGATATGAATAGAATCAATCGCAGCTATTGGTATAATAAATAAGATTAAAAAGAATACGTTTCTTCCTAAACCAATAAAGTTAGGATTGTTTGCTGATAATAATAATAATAATAATAGTAAAGTTGTTATATTAGCAGAGTGTTTGGGGCATTGTAGACAAAAAGAAAAACAAATTTTCACCAAAACTCACAAATTTCTAGAGCAATTGTCATATTTACAACTTGGATGCTCTCTTACTCTCTTTCTAAGAAAAAAAAAGACCAATTTTCCCAGATTAAAGGCCTAAAGTTATGATTTTAAAACTATCATTCTCTGACATTATTAAGACAGAAAGTCGCATGAAAAACCCTCTGAGATTTTAAAGTCGGATGTTTATGATTGAGCCAAGCAGCCGACCTCGTAGAAACGGGAACCACTGGAGGAAAGAGTAATAATCTAGACATTTTGGAGTATTTTTGGCCAAAAGGACTCTTGCATCATTTCATTATTTAGTTTCTTTCATGTATAATGAGCTGAATACTCCCAGAGACAGATTAAAGCCTCGCCGCCTTGCTGCAGATCTGCAGTGGTTTTGCAGCACAGACTGGGAGGCCAGCCAGCAGGGTGTGACTGGAGCCGAGGCGTGTCGACTTTTCTTTCTCTTTTTATTTTGCATTTGGAGTGTTATTAATTTAGAAATGTCTTTTCATTCTGCAGCAACTACAGAGAATTTAGCAGAGACGGATGGTTTCTACAGAAGGTAATCACTTTTTATTTTGTGTTTCTGTCAGCTGCAGATTAACAAAATGCAATTAACAATTATTTTAGCGATCAATTTATTCTATTGAATAAATTAATCAGATTTAAAAGAATTGGCTGATTTCTCTTTTAACCACTTAAGCTTATTTTATGCAACACTAGAAATGCATAAAATACAAACAAATAATTCAGCATGTGGAAACTTCAGGTCTTTCTGCTGAACTTAGCATGAACACAGTGAAAGGCTGATCTGTTATTCTGATTAAGCGATTAATGATCGAGTAGCTTAAGAGGTTTTTATCATTTTACCCGGGTAAAACTAAAACCGCCTCTAGAGGAGTTCTGTGTAGTTCCATGGAGTATTAGAGCTGCACTAAGAAAATAATAAATAAAATAATAAGAATATTTAATTCCAAGAATAAATTTGTAGTATTATGAGAATGTGATAATATTGCGACTTCATCATCATGTGTTTATGTTTATTATTTCAGTACAACTTTATTCTCATGATCTTGACTTTTATTTCTTCTTTTAATAAGGGAAAAGCTACATATTTTTGCACAGTTTTGGCTTAGTTACTGCTCTGAGTGTTGTTATTTTAGAAAATGGCCTTATGTTTAGTCTGCATTCTCCAGTTCATGATTAATTGATTGCTATATTAGTTGACAATTATTTCAATAATCATCAAAATCAATCCTATTAATCGTGCGGCCCTACTCATGTGCTGATGTTTCTTTGTGAAGCAGCCCCGTCGTTTTGGATCCTGCGGAGGAATACACGATGACCAGAAAGCGTCGCGGCGTCGCTCTCATCTTCAACCAGGAGAGTTTCTTCTGGCGCCTGGGCCTGAACCCCAGAAGCGGGACGAACGCCGACCGCCACAACTTAGAGAGGAGGTTTGTCTTCCTGAAGCAGGAAGAACCGGTCGCTCAGGTGCAGCAGCTTTATCTGAGCCCATTCTGTCTCCAGGCTGCTGGAGCTGAACTTTGATGTCAGGAGTTATGATGACTACAAACTGGTGGACGTCCTGGAAAAAATCCATGAAGGTACTGGAACCCCCGGTCTATCACAGTATTTAGTTTATTTCCTTGTTTTAAATGTAAAAGTCTTCAAAGCTGCAGTAACTTTTATTTAAAAAATGATAAAAATCGAACTTCTGCCTTCTTCAGTTCTAAGTGGAAACAACCAATTAGAACCAGGAGGCGGGTCCTCCTCAACCCCACTAGCTCTCTGCTACGTTGCAGCTAGCATAGCTTGTCATGAATGCTAATGCTAGTTAGCTTAGCCCCCAAGCGATTTTCCTGTAACGGTAAGTTGTTTCTCTACCATTATTACATTTAGCAGTATGTTCACAGTATTGATCGACAGCACTAAGCCCTTCCTCTTGGTTGTGATTGGTTGTTTTCAGTTGGATGTGGTGCCTTTCCTTAGATCAGAGAGAAGGCAGAGGGGAGTGATGTTTTCTGATAAACTTTCACAACATGGTGACGCTTTTAACACATTTTTTAAAATGAAAGTTACTGCAGCTTTAAGGATGTTTTCATACCTGATGATCCGTTAGACTTGATTTGATTGGACACCAAAGTTGCAACATTTGTTACATTTTCAGCTGGTACAGTTTGATTTCATACTGCACCAAGATCCAAACAAATTAAAAAACCTGTTCCCCTCCTGGCCTGTGGGGGCGCTGCAGCAGAAACCACATGCCTTGCGCTGTAATCCACTTCCTGCTTTTGGACCAGTCTCCGGTCCACTTGGCGCTCACATACAGAACAGAGAGCAAGATTTGTCGGCAGACCAAACGAACCGGACTTTCTAGACAAATGGACCGGAGTCCTGGTGTGAATGCATTGTGGGACAAATGAAGGAGTATTCTCTAAATGATCTTTATCTGCTGATCAAACCTTCATTTTGTTCCTCCAGCTGCCGAAGACGATCACTCAGATGCCGACTGTTTCCTGCTCGCCTTCCTTAGCCACGGCGAGAACGATCACGTCTACGCTTACGACGGCAAGATCAACATCCAGGACATCACCGCCATGTTCAGAGGAAACAAGTGCAGGAGCCTCATCGGAAAACCCAAGATCTTTATTGTGCAGGTAGAAACATCACAGTGAAGCCTCTGGGTTTAGGAAACAGCAGAAGGTCTGAAGATGATGTTTCCATGTGCGTGAAGGCGTGCCGTGGGGAGCAGCATGACGATCCCGTGACGCCCTGCGACGCCGTGGACAACGTGACAAATGAGACGGTGGTGGACGCCTGCGCCATCCACACCCTCCCTGCCGGCGCCGATTTCATCATGTGTTACTCTGTTGCTGAAGGTGAGCGGTCCGCGTTATCAGGAAACCTGTTTCCGGCGGTGATGGAGGCGATAGGTCAGTCCAACTGCAGCCCGCCATGTTTTTGTGTTCAGAAATGTTCAAAGTTGACGAGAGATTTTAAAATATGACAAGGTGGGGGTGCTGTGGTGGTACAGGGGCAAAGCACAACCCATGTATTGAGGCCTTAGTCCTCATGCCGGTGGTCGCAGGTTCGATTCCCGGCCTGGCGACATTTGCCGCATGTCTTCCCCCTCAATCATAACCCTCCTTCCTGTCAAACTACTTTCAAATAAAGGCCACTAGAGCCAAAAAAAAAACAAATAAAAATAACTATGACAAGGTAGTTATGTGCTATTGGAAGAAATTGTTAACACTTTTAATGAGCCAGTGGATCTTAAAACAAGCTATGTAATGTAAAATGAACTAAAAGAAATGTTGCCTAAAATGATGAGTCAAAGTGTAACTAACCCCCCTGTGAAAGCATAAGCCCCGCCCCCTAAGCAAATGTAGAAAATTCCAAAGTGGGCGGAGCCAAGAGGCACTGAGGGGCGTGGTCAGGTTTGACGATGATGTGGTCAGAGGTGAGTGAGGCTGTGGTCAGGTCAAAAGTAGCACTGCTGCTTTCTTACAGACCCGTTGAATATTATTGTTTACATTAGGAAATTTTGCACATGCGCACAACGCTGGAGGGCAGAAAAGCGATTCTTTTACTCGCCATCCGTAGCCATGCTGCTGGGGTACAGTAATCACATTAACTACATGACACCTGGAGATGTAGGTATTATTAATGCAGTGTGCTAGAGGGAAAAATAACGCAGAAAAACCGTCGATACCAACACTTTCTGTGTTAGGCGTGCTACAGACAGACCCGTCGCCATAGTAACTGACAACAATGTGGCAAATGTATCATAATTGAACACAGATATTTCCAACATAAATATCAGAACATTCAGTCCGTTACAGTTTTATGTTTTCAGGGTTGATGTTTATTTTGTGATTATTAATAAGTGATTGGTGTGGTATATTAGCTATCGCTATATTAGCTAATCTATGTTAGCTAGCTACCCCAGTGATGGCTGATTAAACATCTGGTCTACTGATGATCTGTCAGAGTTCATGTGTGTGTCGCCTTTTTTTGTTCAACTAAACCGAAACACAGAGAAATCTACATCAAATCCATGTTACGGTTGTTAAAGTCAAGCTAGCAAAACTGACCCACTTTCCTGTCTCACTATTATTTTTTCCTGACCTTGTTATATCTAGATGTTGTTGATAATTAGTAGCAAAGCACTGTGTCCCTTTGTCTTTTATATATCATGCTGACATTTAAGATTTAGCTTGCTATTTTGATCATTTGACAGCTAAAACCAATACTAGTCATCGTTGGTGAGCAGCTAGTTCCCCTCCAGCATGGAGATGGGGTTGGGATCTTGCGCATCTTATGCTGCAAAAGTCTATTTACTTTGTTGGTATATGTTTCTATAACCATACCCTGTAGTAGGCCTCTCATGTTTGCTGCTTTGGTTTTCAGGTTTCTACTCCCACAGAGAGACCATCAACGGCTCGTGGTACATCCAGGATCTGTGTGAGTTACTCCGGAAGTACGGCAGCTCGCTGGAGTTCACAGAGCTGCTCACGCTGGTCAATAGAAAGGTCTCGATGCGCGAAGTCGGGAACTGCAAGGACCTCAGCGCAATTGGCAAAAAACAGGTACCATGCTTCGCTTCGATGCTCACCAAGAAGCTCTACTTCCGGCCGAAGAAATGATCAACGGTTCGATTGGTTGGTTTAAATCTGAGCCTTTGAATCTCAGCTGGTACAGCTGATCCGCTCCGCAAAGATGAGAAAAAGAATAGTTGTTTTGTTTCTTTTTAAGTGTTGAAAACATTCCTGGCAGATCATTTGCACAGAGAAGCCTTCTGCTCATAAATCACTGTATCTGATAAAGTTGAAACTATCAGGGAGTTTTTAATCTTAGTCTTTAAATTTTTTCATAGTTGGGGTGTGCTGTGGTGGCGTAGGGGTTCAGAACAACCCACATTGGAGGCCTCAGTCCTCGACGCAGCTGTCGCAGGTTCGATTTCTGGCCTTAGCGACCCTTGCTGCATGTCTTCCCCCTTTCTCATTACCCACTTTCCTGTCAATTAACTATCAATTAAAGGTCACTAGAGCCAAAAAAAAAAGATTTTCGTAATTGATCTTGATTGGTGAGTAGCAGCATAATATTCAGAAATAATTCAGGGGTTTTCTAATCTCAGGTATCTCCTCAGAGGCGCCATTGATCCAGGCTGCCTACTGGACCCATCATGCAAAATTCACTTTTTGCACATTTTTATACTTCCATTTGGGTTTCCATTTGGCACCAAAGTGCCTAAAACACTCAGACAGTTTTGGCAATAAGTTGATGTCTTTTGGTGTCTGTAAAATGACGTGTTTTGAATGTAACATCACAAGTTAGCAGGCACTGTGGCTGTTGGGTCTTATCCAGTTTTTGGTTCGTCTCTCAATGCAGGTTTGCACTCAAACTGTCAACAAACGCTAACATGAAAACCTCAAAATGTTTGTTTCTTAAAGCTGTACAAGGGAATTAAATCACTATGAACTGTCTTAACAATCATGTATTTCTGTGTTTATGAGCTGTGAAAAAATAAAAACATTTTTAAAGCCATAAAAATGTTTTGTAATTTATTCTGAATTTGGAATGGAGGAAAAGTGGTAAATCCAGTTTTATGGAGCAAATTTGTTTCTTATTTTTGCAAAAATGGGCAATGATACAAAAAGTGTTTCTAACTTTTCTTGACCCCTGGAGTTAAAGATCAAGAAAAATAAAGGCAGAGATAAACATGAAGCTTAAAGTGGTTTATTAATCACAGAGGTTTACATCGCAGAGTGACAGCTTCTTAAAAATCTTTTTCTGATTTCTTCATTGAAATGTAATTTTTCAAACAGCCAGGAAGAAACATGCATTTTATTTAGACCAGAGATCTCATTCTCGCGGCCCGCGGGCCAATGTCTCGTGGCTCCACCGTGATATGAAAGTAGTGCGGCCCACAGGGTGAGGGGCCTCTGGAGGAAGTCTGGCCCGCTGGTCCTCGTCATGGCTGACATTCGGTGCCAAGCTACACCGACTTCATGCACACTACGCTTGTAACAATGGTGCGGCGGGTGATGGACCGGTCCGGTACCAGTTTCCCTTCCCTACAGTCGCCATTCCGGTACTTTCTACCATTAACAAATGCCAGGATCAAACGCAGAGAAAGGAGACTGGCTGCTTGAAGCGGTGATGACGTCACGCATCGAGACGTTCTCCATACGTTGCTAGCTGGCTAAAGACTAATGTGAAACTTAGAACAAGAGCGACGCCAAGTGGAGTAAACAAAATTTTGTCACACCCTCATCATGTCTTTGTCAGTCCAAAGCCTGCAGTTCACGTATTGGATAAATAATTAAATGTTGATGAAATTTGAGGATATTTTTAAAATGTTTTTTGTGGAATCAGCCTCACCCAGACTCTGCCTCCAGCAGCCCCCGGGTAAATTGAGTTGGAGACCCCTGATTTAGAGAGTCATTTATTCTGGATTTATCTCCAGTTTTTCTGAAAGGCTTAAGTCTTCAAAGCATTGATCTGATGCGATCGATGTGGACTCAGCCGATCTAACCGATAAGTTGGAGATTGTCTCCATCAGAGTCTGGATCACAAACTGGGTGGCGACGTTTCAGACACCTCTGAGGATGGATAGCAAATCTCAGAAAGTGACCTTGGACCTTCTCAAGGTGGATGCAGAGCGCCCCGCCGAACCGCTCGTACTGAGATACGGCCCGGTTCATGTCGGCGATACAGGTCCAGTGTGTGTTATGATCCTTAGCTACGCACCACTTGGAATGGTCCACTTTAGGCTTCCACATCCACCGGTTACCCACTGCTATGTCTTCAACATTAATGACTGAAATGTCAGTGGAACAGTAGGAGAGGGACCGTTTGGGCTGGCAGCCCCATGTCTGGGCGTAGACGTCGCTCCTGATGTCCTTGGCGATACTTAGGTAGAGATCTCCAACTGGAAGAAGAGGAGGCAGCTTGTTAGGGTCCATTTAAGTTGGTTTCCCTCTTTGGTGAGTTCGTTGTGTAGATGTGAACAGAGAAATCAGAAAAAATCAACCACACAGAGATCTTGATCCTATGCGTTAAAACACTTTTCTGTAGCAAGGTATGTTGCATTGTGGGATATGGACATCTCAAATGTGGAGCAAACTTCCAGAAAACTGCAAAACAGCTGAAACGCTGACTTCCTAGACGAATAGAATAAATAAACCAATGAAAATCTGTGATACGTTCAGGACATCTTCTCAAAACCTATTTGATAAAAGTTCTCTGATAATTTAGCCAATAAATAGACTGAACATCCTCCAGGTTCTGGTTCTGTTGGAGTTTTAACCAGAGAATATTAAAGAACAACGAGAAGAGGACGATACTTACCCTCTTCATCTGCATTGGCTTGTTTAGCAAAGACTTTAAAGCCTTGGTTCCTGTTGGACGTCAACAATGAGACCTCAACCTTATCAGGGATGTACGGAGAGCCTTCTGTCCATTTCACAACATTTTTTAGTTCCTCGTGAAAATCATCTGGGATATAATGTTCAAATGGAAACGCATTGATGTACTGCAGATGTGTTCCTGCAAACATTAAACAACATATTATTAAAGATAATTAATCAGCAATAAATCCTACAGCATGCTGTCTGAACTCAGACCTATTGTAGTGAACTGGTTGTAGTTGAACGTCACACAGATAAATGTCTGAGCGTGTTTATTGCCGCTGTTTGGCCAGAAGTTGTTCTGGTCCCTTCTGAAGGGGAACCGAGGGGTGCTGTGTAAGATCCAGACTCCTGTACCGGTTCTGTCCACCATCACGAGTCCTGTGGTTAAAAACAAACATGACTTTCATTATCACACAGAATGGGAAATGAAACACATCCTGTGACATCAAACATCACATGGGTCAAAGGTCAGGAATTCTCAAATATGAAAATAAATTAAACTGTTTCAGAAAAACAGATGAAGCAAAAATGGGTTTGATTTCTTGAAAGACTTAAGACTCGGCCTTGGAGTTGGTATAAACGACCTAAAATCTGGGAGTAGTGATGAACTCTGACTTGAACCTTCACAGCAACATTAAGATGGTTACAAAGTCGGCCTGAAGGACACTTACAGGATTAAAGGACTAATGTCTCAGTGAGATCTACAGAAACTCATCCAGGTGTTAATCTGCAGGCGAGTCTTCACAGGTCTGCCTAAAAAAATCAATCCTCCTGCTGATCCAGAACGCTGCTGCTGGCGCTCTGACTAAAACGAGGAGGATAGAGAACATCACCCAGTTCTAAAGTCCTTCCACTGAGAAAATAGACTTTAAAATACTTCTGGTTCTGGTTCTGTCTGCTCTGCATCCCCAGAACCAGAAGTAAACCTGGAGAAGCAGCATTCAGCTTCTATGCTCCTACAATCTAGAACAAACTTCCAAAATAATATTTATTGATCCTTTCATTGATCAAACAGTGGGAAAAAAAATAGTAAAATTAGCAATCCTGACAATATAGATAACCCTCAGGTTGTTATTCTCATCCAACGAAAGCAGAGCGCCTCCCATGATGGCTGCAGCCTCAGGGACCGTCTGCTCATGTCTTATGTTGTTCTTTGGACGGGCTGTACATCGCACTTCTGTTCAATGGCAATAAAGACCGATTCTGATTAAATATCATCTATCAGAATTTATTGTGACAAAAAATAAATCAAAATTCTTGTCATGGTAAGAAATTTACCACAATAAAAAATAAACGATACGATAAATGCCCGACCCCACTGTGAAGCACTTTGAACTGCATTGTTGCTGAAATGTGATATAAACTTGGACAGGAAGCCACCATCCTGATCAGATGCATTAACTAACCGCTCTTCATCAATATGGCCACTGCTGTATTAGCTGAAAGGTGTGGAAAGATATGAGCAATAATCCTGGCGCCCATCAACATTAAAACGATGAAATGCTTCCTCTACCTTTGCTGTGGCCAAACCTCTTTGGATCGGCGCCACATCCTGGCGGCTGATCACTGTAGCTGATGAACCCGAAGGTCTCCTCCTGCAAACACAACCTTCATCATTCAGAGTTTACAGGCTGCAACGTTTCTGCTCAGGCACTGAGGATTAAATACTTAAAATAGCACAATTTACTACTCATCCGGCAGAAACAAGTCGACAGCCATTTAATGCTGCTTTTGATCCTAAATGCTTGACCCAATCTGAAACTAAATGATTGTATGCTCCAGGCTTTTGAAAACTTTCTTCTGACTCATCGTATAATATGAACTCTGCAGCTCCAGGTAGCTAGTTACGTGGATCGCCTCGATGCGGGTAAATCCTCAAGATTATAAGAGAAGTCTCTTTTTTTACCGAGATAATACGGATCATATCCTAAATATACGCATATTTTTTTTAGATACCTCGGCTGTTCCAGCCGATTTAGGGCATTAGCTGCTGTTGTGATCAACATTGCTTTGTTTTGAACCGGAGAAATCCCCTTCCGGCCCTCCATCTGAATTTTGCGCGTCATCCGGGTCATGTGTCTGAAATCTTAATTGAATAAAAATGCTGCAGATCTTTTATTTAATATTAGAAATACATTAATAGATGTAAATAAACAGTTTAATTCCTTTTTTAGATAAGAAAAATACATTTTGTTGCATATGATGCAATAATGTGACATTATTTCATGTATGCTAACCAGGTGAAGCTAAAGCTATGTAGCTTGAGTTCTGAGTAGAACATATTGATAAACAATTTTAAATCTAACCCAATCAGTCTTAGCTCACCAGGCACTGATGATCGGTTATGATTATCAAATGTCTGTCTCAGAACGTGGAACGTTCTGAAAAGGGAAAATCAGGGAAAAAATGGTGGCATGTGAACTAGGCGGGCAAACCAGCATGCAGAAGCTTTATCTGATGGTTCGATAGATAAAGCAGAAGCTTTACCTGACGGTTCGATCGATAAAGCAGAAGCTTTACCTGACGGTTCGATCGATAAAGCAGAAGCTTTACCTGACGGTTCGATAGATAAAGCAGAAGCTTTATCTGACGGTTCGATAGATAAAAGGCCCCGCCCACCGGGCCGCAGTGAAACTATGAACCATTGGTTGGGGACCAGTGATCTACAGAATATTACTATGAGCTATAGAGCATGTTAGGGCTGCAGCTACCAATTAGTTTAGTAACAATTATTCTGATGATTAATCAAAAAAAAAAAAAAAACTGGAATTTTTTTTTTTTAACTACTTAATATTTTTTTTTACAATATTGAAAATAGATTAAAACATTAAATTTCCTTTTTAGATAAGAAAAAAATAATTTGATTACTTATAATACCACAGTATAGTGTATCACAGTTCTGAGTAAAACAAAAGTATAAAGATGATTTTTAAATCTTAAATGCAAAGCATGAAAATTCTTTGTACAGTTTTGTCTTAATTTCTGCTCTGAATGTTTTGTTTTTCCAGTAAGTGGCCTTTTTTGAGTTTCCAGTTAACAATTAATCGATTCCTAAATTAACTGATGATTATTTCAACAATCAATTAATCATGATTAATCGTTTCAACCCTGGAACACGTATGTGGATTGTAGAAAATGGATGTGAAGAGCAGACGGTACCATGTTTCTAATGGGTCTAAAGAGAGGCCTCAGCGTATTTCCCAGAACGCCGTTCGGGCTGTTGATGTTGCTCAACTCCTCGTTCCTGCCACTCGAGTCGATGTAGAAATACTCCGTTCCAGTGGTGGAGCCACTGGAAATGTGGTCCATTCTGGGGATCTTATATAAAATGTACCTGATGAAGAATAATAAAAAACTAACTATTTTTCAAAACAATCAAGTTGACTTTATCCATCTTAGATTTGGGTTTATTGTGAATTCATGACCATGGTGTTACCATGGCGATTCATTCTGAGCCTGTTTCCAGTCCAGCCTCTAACAAATTGTTGCTCTTTGATTAACAGAGATGTTGGGTATTTTCTCACCAGTCCACCTCGGCATTGAGGTCGTTTTTGCAGGTCACTGATCCGTGAGATCCCCAGCAGAGGAGCCCAAAAACCAGCAAGAAGCTCCACATCTCTCACTGAAACACACAGGAAGTTCCAGCGTTGCAATTATTCAGTCAAATTTTTAACATGTTTTCACTTAATTTCTGCTTTGAGTTATTTTCCTCTGTCAGTCATTCTGTAAGGTCCGGATTAAAACAGTTTGCCTGGATTAATGCCATATCCTCCATATATAGTTCACAGACTGAACACTATTATGTTCACAGTAACTGAAATTTTAAAATAGTTTTAGAAGTGACTTACGGTCATAAAGGACCCAGAGGTTTCAGCGCTGCGCCGGTTTCTCTCTGCTCCTGAGTTCAGCTCTTGTTGCTTTTATTCCCCTCTGGGTCCTTGACCCAGTTTTTCTGGGCTCACAGTCACGTCCAAAAAGGCTGAAAACAGGATTTTTTATTGAATCTTTCTAATCAGGATGAACTTTGCCTTTATGTACTGAACCAAAGTTCTGCTGCGTTTTAATAAAACCTGATCAGAAACTGATATAAAACTGATTTTTGTGTAATGAAAGTCTTGAAGTTTTGCTCCTGAAATGTCTGAACCTTTTGTTTGCATCTCGTATAAAACGTTTCCATCAACCTGACGGTGCTTTTCACCTTAAGACTGCTTGGACAGATCCGCTCTGTATCTCTGGAACGAACAGCAGAAGTTGGTAAACCAGCGGCGCCGACCGGGACGCAACGCTTCCCCGTTCTACCCACTCTTCAGTCCTGGGATCCACAATGTCAAAGGTCATCAATTAATTCATCTCATGACCCTAAATCTACTTTAAGCAACCAGGGTTCAAAATCTCCACCCTGCCCAGGACTGCATGATATGAGAAAATGATGCAGTGGCAAAGATAAAGAAAATCATTTCAAGAATAAAGTTATATTGTCAGAAAAAAGTCATACAACAATAAAGTCATTATATTACCAGAATTAAGTCATAATAATTATAATAAAATGATATTACCGGCATAAAGCCTCAATAAAATGAGAATAAAATTGTAATAATCTGAGAATAAAGTTAATATTACCAAAATAAAGTTGGAATATTAGAATGAAGAATTAATTTTATGAAAACTACAATGAAAAATAATTTTAAAAAAGAAGAATGGTGATCATTTTGTCAAGTTATACTGTGGTATTGGTTTTACATTTAAGAAATAAAAAATAATCTTTGAGCATGTAAAACATAATAAAACTTGGAATATATTAACCAATAATTATTGACTCCAAACCAGTTCTGGGTTTTTCATTATAATTTAGCTTTATTTTGTTGTGACTTTTGTCTAATTTTGTTACTTTTAATTAGTTTTTAGATTTTGTTTGCTAATCTACTAAATATTTAGTTTTTATTAGTTGTAGTTTTAATTTTTCATACTTTGGTAATTTTTTACATGCAGAATTCAAAAATATCAAAATATTACGATTATTTATACATTGATTTTGTAAAGAATACTCCACAGAAGATACAATTTTCAAAAAATGTATATATTTATTTAACCAACTGGTGTTTTCTCTTGCTGCCGCCATTTAGCCACCAGGGGGCGTATGGAGCGCCGTAATTTGCCGACAGCTGACGTAAACTGCTTGTGTTGGGACAAAAAAATCCATTTCACATAATTTCAAAGGATTAATAAACAAACACCAGAAGAAAGGATATTTATATCTATAATTTCAGAGTTTTACAAATGCACAATATAGTTCCAGTTTTTCCCCATTTATAACTGTTTTTATTTATTTCAGTTAATGAAAATGTTTCCTTCCATTTCTTTATTTTGTTGTTTAGTTTTAGTTAACTGTAACACCCTTGCTCCAAACATTCCTTAGCAACATAAATATTAAAAACACAGATGATGATATATCCTCCATGTTTATCCATCTTATTAAAAATGCTGACAAGAACAAAAATACACAACCTGACAGACAACAAAACATGTTTCAAATGCAAACTTTAATTATCAATGTTTGTGAATTTGTTGGGGGTACAATATGGCATTAACATTAAGAATGCAGATTTATATGTTTTAAGGTAAAAATATGGCATTATCAGCATAAAACAAACATTTGTCTCTGAGTCTCAGTCCTTCCAGTCTTTCACGGCTTCGCCTGGATCTGTTCCAGCGGCAGCTGAAGCTGGTTTGGATATTTCAGACGTCTCAAGTCCTCTTCCACCTGAAAACACATCGCAACATTTAACTGTGGTTCTTAAATTCAGAAATAAGAAGTCTAAGTAAAATAACTGAGTCACCTGTTCGAGTTCATCCTTCAGTTTGTTGTATTTTTCCACGTTGAACTGCTTCTTCTTGGCGCCTTTATAAAAGTAACGTAGAAACTGTCGGTCCTTCGCGTCTGGATAAACGTAATCCTGATGGAGAAATAAAACCCAAATGATTCAGTTCAGATCGGCTCAATTCTGGAGAATCTTCCACAGAAATGAGTCTTTTTACTAAAATACAAACATAATGACTGAAAATTAAATAAAACTAAGAAAAATCAGTTTTTACTAAGTTTATGCAGACATATTTTATTGTTATAGCATAAAATCACAAAATGCTTGGAAAAACTGAATTTATTCCTCTTAGGCACTCCTCAAAACAGCAAAGACTGGAGAACAAGAATTTGACCTCAACAGGGTCAAATTTGTGATTAGACAACATGTGCAGGTACAACTACGATCTACAGCGATGCATTCTGGGTACAGATTCACCCCTTCAAAATAAGACCACGACTATAGAATCCTTAACAGTTGATAATCAAAACTTTAAAACAAACGTCTAAATTTATTCAACCAATAGTTTACAAAACAACCAAATAAATTAGCAGTTTATAACATATCTGGACAAATTAATTTAGGGGAAGCAAAGTACGCTAAACGTAACTAAGTTAGCAAAAACACTAAAGCACTAAATGAAAATTTAGCAGAGCTTTTCCCACCTCTGATTAAAACTAATTGTTGGGCAACATAACAGAAATAATTATTTGTTTTCCTGCTGGGCTTTACCATTTAAGTGTGAAAGAAATCCAGTTTATTTCCAAACATCAAACTCCTGAAGCATCAAATCTGTGAGTCTTGCCTGCTTGGTGAGGATGTAGTAGGCGAAGGCGGCCATGCTGGTGGCGTAGGTGATGAAGTACGTGACAGGCTCCATGACGTCCCATGAATACACCCACCAGGTGAGCCAGCCCAGGGCGCCGCCCTGCACAGACAGCAGCGCCATGCCGGTCCAGAGAGCCCTGGAGGTGTGAAACTCCGCCGTCCGGCTCAGCTTCGCCTTCATCTGGAAGAAACCGCACAACAAGAAACGGAAAATGTAAATAAATTACCTTCAGTCTGCTCACAAACCCCGCCTGTGCTGTTATAGAAATTAAATTAGGAGTATTATAATCTATTTTTATGAGAAATGAACCGATCCGATTATATCTGCATCAGTTCCAATATTGAAAAAAATTCTAAATCGGGTATCGGTGATAATGTTCCTGATCCATAATTAATTACCTATCTTCTCAGACTTTGGTTGCCTAGCAACAACCTGCTTAAGGTTTTTCTGCTGCGCCTCATAACTGCTGACAAATAAAAAGCAGGGCGGCGGAGAGAAAACTGGATAAAACAGGGAACGTTTCGACACCAGTCTGGCAAAATTTCAGATATTTAAAAACTAATCAATAATTAAGAAAGTTTATTTTTACATGTTGGTCAACCGGTTGTTTTTGTCAGTTATTGTTAGTTAGTATAAATGCCTATTTTAAATAGGCATTTATACTCCTAATTATTCTGACTGAACAAATTAAAATAGTTTGTATACGTTTGACCAAGTTTGTGAAGTTATTTGTGAGTTAAGTGAGCTGCATTGGTGCAGAGTTGTTAAATAAATTTGTAATTCAGTGTATTTATGTCTGCGTTTAAAAAAAGAAACATTTTAAGTCAAGTCAGCGATGTATTTCTGCATTGGATCAATGTCTGCCGATACTAAAACTCAGATATCGGAAGAGTTTTAGCGACTGTTTTCAGAGGAATGCTGATGCTTTTCGTAGACACCTGGAGCCCGGTCTGACCGGCCCACCCAGCGCTCAGGTGCTACCTGCTCCAGAGGCGACAGCTCCTGCTTGATGTTGTCCATCCTCTCCAGCAGCTGGCGCTCCTGCAGCAGGTGGTGCTCAGGCAGGTGCAGCGCTGCGTGCAGGAGATGCACCACGTGCTTCATGTCCTCCATGTCCCTGGCATGCTCACTGGAGGTGATCACTGCAACCACAATGAACCATTTACAACATGGAGTCACACATGTATGGCAAGCCGTTTTAACATAAAATCACTTTGACCACTCTCATATTCCAGATATCTGACATTGGCTCATGACTAGTTAATAATTAGTTAATAAATCTCTAATTACAATCTGACTTGCATAAATTATGTCTATTTACCATTAAGTTACATGTAGGTTTAAATTCACTTTGTCTGAATTATTGATATTTTAAATATCAATAATTAAATTATGACTAGTCCTAAAGTAAATTTAAGATAACTAATTTTTGTTCCAACTGTTGTCAGAATTCTAATTAAATATATTTTTAGATAGGAGACCTAGTTTGACTTGTGCATATTTAGTTGCAGATATCTTGAAAGCAAATAACGACTTATCAAAACTAAATATCTAGTTTTGAACTTAACTAGAATTCCTTTTAAGAAATCTCCACATTAATTAGTTTTTCTATTTAATATTTCTTGTGTTAACATTCTGATGACTAGTCAGAAAGATATTAATAAAATCCTGAATTAGTATTCTGTCTTGTCAAAACATCACAGATTTATGTAAATTTCAAACAAAAAAAATAAAAATTAAAGAAAATATTTTTAAAATGCTCCATTTTCAGTGTTGCACACTTGTTCTTTTTGTTCTTAAATTTTAACTGCATTGTAAGCGCATTTCAAGTGCAAATAAATAGGAAATATATAAATTCCTATTTATTCACTAAAAAAGTGAATAAATGGGAAATTATTAGCAGATTTCTGAAGCAATCTCCAATTTTTTTGCGTTCTCTGTAGCTTTTTCTACATTTTGTCATTTTCGATGAGACATAATTGCGCTCGAGGAATCTTTAATTGTAATTATGGCCTTTAAATGATGAATCTGGTGACGTTTTTTGAGATTTTTGAAAAGGAATTTTGAACCGTAAGATGTAAGATATCTTCAATTAGAATATCTTAATTTACCATTCACGGTGGTCAAAATGTAGTTGTGTCGAGTCAAAATGATCTTTTTGATATCTGGAGTGTAATTATATGTTAAGTCTGCCTGCCATAGAGGAAGTGTCGTTACCTTTCTCAGGTGCGCTGACATTGTAAACTTGATTGTTGATGACGAGTTGGAAGTCCGTCTCTAGCAGGGCGTCCAACAGCGTCGTGTTGGCAACACGTTGCCCGTCTGGAAGAGCAACGACTCAGATTTAAACTCTGAAAACAAATACTGAACCGCTCAACCATACTTTCTGCTGCTCCGAAATGAAACACCAGAAAAAAGATTAACTCTGTTAAACTGCTGAGCCTCAAAATATTGTTACTTCACTGAAAAAACACAAAATCTTACCAAGTATTTTTAGTCTAGTTTCTAGTTTTTGTGCACTTCAAATAACTAACTTAAAAGTAACTTTACAGAAAAATGAAAGCGCTTGTTTTAAATAAAAAATTCCTTAATATTGATCAAAAAGTACTAATTCTTTTTGATGTGTGACTGGCCGACTGTTTTAAGTGAATTGGATGGATCTAGTACTTTAATCAAAACTAAAATAATTATTAACACACTTCCATATTGAGCTGAAAGTTACTAGTAAGTTAGTTTTCTGAAATGTAGATATACGAGCTTATTTTAAGTTAATAATTCCTTAATATTGATACAAAGGTTTAGCTCCACTGGTAGATTATTTCATTAGTAGCATGGGAAAATATCTTGCTATAAATTAAATAAACTTGTAGTTTTTATCGGTATTAAATAATTTATTGACATAGAACAAGCTCCTATATGTTGCTTAAAAGTTTCTTGTAAGTTAGGTTTGTTTTATTTCAAGTGAACTAAGATATTTGCACCAGGGTTTGGAGATTATGGCTGAAGAACGTGTCACAACATAAACGCTTCATATCAGTCGATATCAATAATTATTGATTAGTTTTTGTTTTTAATGTCTGGAATACAGCCAAACTGGTGCTGATATTTCCCGTTTTATCCAGTTTTATCAACATTGTTTTGTATTTTTAAGCAGTTTAACGTTAATGAAACGTTAAACTGCTGGTGAGGCATTTACCCAGCAGGTTGTTGCTAGGCAACTGAAGATGAGTGAGTTGCTAGGTAACCAATGAGTGAGTGAGTGCGTTGATTCCATCAAGCTAGCTTAGCGGTGAGAGGTTGAGCGGCTAAAGCTTTCCTCTGCCTACATCTCCCAGAATGCTGTGCAATTCTGGATCACAGTTCAGTGAAATTATTTATTGTGATAGATAATATGTCAATAAATGTTACTGATTTATTGCCCAGCCCAGAAACCAGACTAAAAATACTTGGTAAGATTTTGTGTTTTTTTGTAGCGTGAAGAGCTGAAACGCAGAACTTCCTGTTCTTTCTTCTGACATCTGAGGAATTTCTCCTTGAATCCAAAACTGGTCCTGTCCAACTGGTCCGTGCTGCTGCTGGTCTAAACCCGGTGTGGCAGTCCGGACCGACGCCGGGCGGGCTCGGACCTCGTCTCACCTGCAGAGAGAAGGGAGGCCGCGGCTCCGGAGTCCTCTCTCTTCAGATCGGCGATCAGGTCTCCCACCGTCATCAGCATGGGCCGCAGGAAGAACAGACAGTTCTCGTTCCTGGACGGCAACGGCACCTCCAGAACCAGGCGGCCATGTTTGTGCTTCAGAGACAAGTCTGCAGCAGAGAGAGGAAATAATAATTAAATTCACATCAGGAGCTAGAAATCCACAAACTGCAGGGAACCGTCTCATGTTTTGCCTTCAGTGAATTTTACTGTTAATTCATGTTAAATATTAACACAAAGCGGTGTGAAACTGCATGATCCTTGCCCATCATGAGAGATGGAAGAGATGTTTGAACTTCGTTCTTCTCTCTCTGCTCTTCATCCATGAATATAAAAACTGAGATGAGAGGTAGCAGCCTAGTTAAAGCCTGTCGGTATAATGGTGTCTTAGCTGCTTCACGCAGATCCCAATAAAACACTCTGCAGTTTGTGGTTGGATCAATGCCGCTAGCAAGCCACTGTCATAATAATCATGTGCATGCAGTGAGACAGTTTTACCACTAGAGGGAGCACTGGAGAAGAAAGCTGGACAGTTTTGCAGTGACGGATGTCGTGGATGAACCTAAACGGAAAGAAATGGGAAGGTTAAAGTGACAGTATTATACGTTTTCCAGGCACATGGTTTAATTTTATAGCACAATCAAGTAACTACTGTATGTTACTTTCAGTTGTTATAAAAATATTATATGTATCAAATATTTCTGAAAAGAGACTTTACTTCCTATTTTAACACAATTAAATTGGGTCTCTGTCTCTTTAAAACTCCTGCTCTCTCTGAAGCTCCGCCTTCAGGAAGTCATCCCAACATGGATCCTCTGTTATCCCTTTAACACGATTTTACCAGCGTTGCTCTGAGTTGCAGTTCCACCAGGTGTTCGCTAATCGCTGCTGGCTAGTCTGAAGGAGCCGAGTGGGGAGGAGCAGCGAGTCGAAGGTGGGGCTAAGTCCACCCAGGCGTTTTGCTCAGCTGAATGGTTGCCATGGAGATTAAAGGATTTCTCAAACAAGGCATCACTCCAGGAATGTTTTCTATAACATGATGTAAAGCTCATTGAAGTTGATTTTTCATGACACTGCCCCTTTAATGAAGGCAAGAGTTTGTTCTTGGTGTAACCAAACGGCCTTCCTTCGGTAAACTGATGAAGAGCAAACAGAAGGTCAGCGCCAACAAGCTGCTTCTGCCAGTTCTCCCTCAGCGTTTCCCTCCTGGAAACTTTGATATTCAGATCCGGATTCTGGTTCTCCTGCCGCAGGAATCGGACCAGGTGTTGGTGCAGACTGCCTGACTGACTCATCGCCTTCCTGTTAATTCATTTCAGGTCCTCTGTGGGTTCTGATGGATGCCAGACTGTGGCTCAGTGAGAGCGGACCCTCAGGAGTTTCCTACGCCGCTGATAATGATCAGAGCATCGATAAGGAGCACGCAGACAGAGATTGTAGCCTCTTCATCCTGCGCTTGGTATTCACTCAGCGTTGCCCTGTCAGTTCAGATCCATCCACTTCTGCTCTCCGTTTGACCCGACTCAAACATCTGGATCCACCCAAAATGTGTGAATTTATGTCAGCAAACCAACACAGTATTTAAACACTGTTAAACTACCTTCACTTTCTGATAACAGTCATGATATTACGCCTTAAATTATTTTAAAAACTACATGAATTCAACACTAATATAGTTCCTCTGGATTTGTTCTTCACCTGATAACCTGGCTCTCTCTCTGCTCAAGCGATACATCATTAGAGACGACCAATGGAGCCGTCTGTGAAGCAAAGCTTGAAGCAAAGGGACTGAGCAGAGGCGGGGTGTGCTGCCCTTTCCACTCCACTGGTGAGGAGACGGAGTGTGTGTGTGTGTGTGTTTGTGTGTGTGAGAGAGAGTGAGAGAGCAAGAGCGAGAGAGAGAAGCTTTGGTTTAGAAACATCTGGTGTTGGAACCAGAAAACGGCAGTCAGGAGTTAAAATTTAAGTTTTTAAAATTTGGATTAATTAATTATGTACATTTTAAACGCAATTAATCAATGTTTTTCTTTTTTTATTTTACACACAAAGGTCTTGAACAGGAACTTTTCTATTTCTGCGTTTCTGGTACAACTGTAAATATGATGCACAGGGTGACATTCGTTAACAGCGATCGATGACAAAGCTGCTACTCTTGGCCCACCGGACGTTAATTTCTGCTTCAAAAAACGATCTGCTGTGACGCTGGAAAAGACTGTGTGTTCAAGTTATGCTAAAAGGAGTTAGCCTGTTAGCAAAGCCACTCTAGCCTGAAATAACATCTCAGTGCTAACCTTGTAGCAGCAGCACAGATGCCCACAATGCTAAGTTAGCATTTACAGTCCACATTTCTAAAGAAGTTCCATGAATGATCAGGGTTACCTGAAACAATAACAGCACTTTGCTCCAGTCTGATGGCTGAATAACCTGAATAACAAATTAAAAATTATAAATATTGTTGCTGTTGAGCTCACGTCTACTTCCTAAATGTGGACCAAAGAAGCAAACTGGTCCGCCTACAAACTTCGGTCTGGGTCTGGTTGAAATGAACTCTGGTTTCGGTTTGAATGCAGGTTGCTCAAAGGCTTTGGATTGTTTGAGTCAGAGCAGTGAGAAAGGACAGAGAGACTGCTGTAGCAATAAATGACCCTGCTGTCCATTAATGCAGACAGAGATATTAGACATTACAATTTGTCTCCCAGAAAAACAAACCCTTATTCTCCCACCCCAGTATGCAGATTTCATGCAATCACAGTTTGTAGAAACACTAGAAAACATGCTTCTGTCTGAGATTCTTGGTTTCCAGTTAACAAGAAAACCCCAGATCTGAAACTAATCATCAAAGGTCTGTGAGGCTTTCTGACTTCTTCAATGTGAAGCACTTTGTGTTTGTGATTTATCACGATTCAGAGCCAATTCAAAGCCCGCCTGCCTGCAGGCTCTGTGCATACGCTGTGTGCACATATTACCAAGCCCATTGTAAATCTACAGATGGTGGCTGTTGTGACAGATAATCGTGAGCCGGGTGATGAATAGCAGCACACTTCCAAGGCTATGCTTCTGGTTTTCTAGCATTACCGGCGGTTCCGACGCACTGCGCTCTAATCACAGGTCTTCTGGTAGCAACACCAGAAGACCTTATGGAGCAGGTCGTTTAAAAATGAGCAGTAACGCTCCTTTAAGAGGAATTGTGCTTCTGAATGCTAAAGCTTATTGGTGTCCAGCCCTGGTAATTTGTTTGGTCCCCTTTGCTGGGCCAATAACTACGGAGGCCAGCGAGGGTCAAATGTGGGAATGAAAACACAAGCTGGGGAAATCTTTTTCTTCAGGTTAATAAATCTGCTCAGGTAAAAGTGCGAACAGGTAAAGATTGCTCTGTGTGTGGGCTGATTTATGAACGAAAAAATGTCTATGTAGGAATCCCAAATTATCTGAAACATTTGTCATTAAGTTTGGAAAGAAGATGGCTCTGCTGCACTTGAAGTAAATGGGAAAAAAATTATATCTCCATATTGTTAGATAACTAGCTAGACATCTTTCTATTTACTTAGCTAGATATCTAGATAACTAGTGTGATCTGACTATATATTTGCTTGTCTATTCTAGATAAGCATGTAGCTTATCTATGACACTAGCTTTCTAACAAGCTTTTTATCTAGCTAGAAAAATAACTAGTCAGATATCTATCTATCTATCTATCTATCTATCTATCTATCTATCTATCTATCTATCTATCTATCTATCTAAATTAAAAACTGTTCCAGATATGTCATATTAAACCTGTTTGGTGAGCTGCTCTTTACAATCTGAAACTTTATTTTTTAAATATTAATTGCTCAGCTGCTGTTTTACATTCCTGCACCTGTGAGGCGCTCGGTGGGCGGAGCCACAGCGCGGGACATTTTCTGTGTTTTTTTCCACACAGAACAAAGTTTTCCCTCAGGCTGTTCTCTGACAGAGACACACCCCTGCATTGCATGACACTCCAAATTCAAACACACTCCGGCTTCCTGACTGCAGAGCCTGAACAAGCCCAGTCATCAGGAACATGCAAACAGCCGAACAGGGAAAACCAACGCAGGTGACTGACTTCCACAAACATGGCGGAGCAACATCTGCCCCTCATTATAAAATGATTTCTCCCAGCTGCTGCTTCACGCAGCACTCCGCTGATGGCATGTTTACCCCAACAGCCAGTCATCTGTATGCAACACCACCAGGAAAGGAGGAGAGAGGGGAGGGGCAGAGATAATCTCCCTCCACAGGCGGGAGACGACTTCCTACCACAGTGTACTGCAAAAACACAAAATCTCCCCAAGAATTTTGACAGTTTCTTGTGAAAATATCTTAGTACACTTGAAATAAGACAAAACTAACTTACTCCTATTTTCAGAAAGAAATAAGGGCTTGTTTTAAGTCAGTAATAATATATGCAGACAATACATCTGATAGGATATTGAATAATTTCACTGAGCTCCGATCCAGAACTGCACAGCATTCTGGGGGTTGTAGGCAGAGACCTGACAGGAAAACAAATGTAGCTGGACGATAAATTGTCCCAGAAATTATTGCGATAAACGATAATATTGCTGTTTTGAGATTGTTATGGTGCAGCAGCAGCTTAATGTTTCACCGCTGTGCCTCATAACTGCTTAAAAATAAAAAACAATGGCAAGGAGAGGAAACTGCAAATAAAACAGGAACGATCACACCAGTTTAGCTGTATTTCAGATATTTAAAACAAAAAACTAATCGATTAGTTTCAGTTAGTGTTCTTGTATTTCAAGTAAACTAAGACATTTGCACTAGAAACTAGAACAAAAATACTTTTTTGCAGTGTAATTGTGATCAGCTGCTTGGAGACGTCCTGAAGGAATCTGCTCCCACTTGGAGCCACAGGCTTCGTACCGTCACAGCGAGGACACACCGGCTCGACTGGAGCTAATAGCAGAAAAATAACTCACACGACTGCAAGCAGAGAGAGAAATGTTGAGTTATTACAGACTGAAGACTGGAGTGAAGCAATAATCTGCCAGGAGGAGAAACCAACTTAGCTCCTGTCAGCGATGTGATTGAGAACAGCCATTATCGCCCCATCATGAAAGTTATTTGCTTTTGGTCATTTTTTTCTCCTTCTCTTTCCAGTTTAATGACCCAATTCAGTTATAAAAACGATCAGAGCAGGATGCAGCGTGCAGAATGTGGCTGCAGGACGGAGAGCGATACGGTTACAAGGCAGGAGAACCAAGAACTAAAGCTGCACCGATCACACCAGCCCCGTTCAGTCCGCTTCAATCCGACTCCGGTCCGCTTCCGTCCGACTCCGGTCCACTTCCGTCCGACTCCAGACTGTTTGACTAGAAAATCCGGTTTGTTTGTGGAGGTGTGAAAGCTAATTGAACTCTGGTCTGCCTACAAACTTACATCGATTCAGTTAAAGTGAACTCTGGTTCAGTTTGAGTGCATATGTGAACGACAAGCAGACTGGAGACCGCTCCAAAAGCAGGAAGTGGATTATAGTGCAGGGCATTCTGGGTAAATACAACTAAAACAAAGGCGCTAGCCTAGCGCTAGCCAGAGAAATGGCCTATGATCTTTGACTAAAACAAAAAAGAAATCCTACAACCGCTCAAATCTGATGCCACTTCATTTTTGTTTACATTTTGTGAAGGAAGTTGCGCTCAGTGTCTTCAGAGGTTTTTGTGTCGTGTCTTTCAGTGGTTCTTGGTGCAGCGCCCCCACAGGCGAGGAGGGGAACAGGTTTCTCAAATTGTTTGGTTGGTTTGACTCAGTGAAGCGAAAGAGAATGGCAGCAGCTGAAAATGTAACAAATGCTGAAACTTTGGTCCAAAATCAAACCGAGCTACCAGAGTACAAGGTGTGAAAACATTGTAAAGCTGCGTTCACATGGATCCAAATCCGATCTTTTCACCCCACACATTTTGGGATTTGTGCCTCTTCTACATGTGGAACTAAATTATATCTGATCATTTTCAAAGTGTCTGCAGTCTGAATGATCATGTTACATTTTATCCGACTTTTATGTCAGACACGCATCATAATTCTGCACCACAAGAAGCCAGACGCCATAAATTCAGATATAAACAATGGCTGAAAATTATATTTGTGAAATTGTGAAACCAGTGTGGGTCAGTGAAACATCATAATCCTGGTTCTGACTTCATCCAAACAGGGTTTTACCGACAGCTCTTATCAAACAGCCACACAGGAAACACTGGGTGTGCCACAAACCTCAATAGCCAGAGTCAAACTTTAAAACTTTATATTCACCAATCTATAATCCATCGGTTAAACAGCTTCAGGGCTTCCTCAGAAAGCCTGGAGAACAAAGTCTGGCTGCAGAGATGGAAGTTAACTTCATCATTTCAATAAATTACCAGATAACTTCATTCTCCACAGCAGCAGCCTCAGAGATTCAGAGCTGAACATTTCTCTGGTGAGCGAACAGAAATTCGCTGACACGGACCGTCTGATATGGCTGAAGGTCAACTGGCACAGAAATGTATTTTTTAAAATTGCCAACTGTGACATTTCTTGTCAGCAGCCAGTAAAAGTCCCTTCACAAATGTCTCCCTCCTTTCCATCTCTTCCATTTTCTGCTCTTAAATAGAAAAGAAATGTCCTTTAACAGGGGAAATTCAGGCTTGCCAGCAAAATGTTAAAAAAATATAAAAACTGAAAAATAAGAACAAGAGATGATATAGTAAGGGCAAATTTACAGCTGCTATTACAAAATATCATACTCAGATTAAAAGAAATGTGCAAGTAAATTAATTCAAAAGAAAAAATAAAATACAAGATCTGTGTGAACATGTGCATAAAAAACAACAGACTGGAAGTGAAAAGACCAAAAATACCAGCAGGGATGTAAATAATTATAGTTTGTTGGGAGTAGTGAAGGTTATCTAACAGCTGCTGGAGGAAGGATCTACGACAACGCTACATTTTGCACCTTGGATGCAGAAATATGCGCTTCGAGTCACCATAAAATTGTGCAAATTGGAATTACAAAAATAAATTTGCTTAATGCAAACATGACCATTTGTATCAAAATTAGTGTATTTCATAAAACTACAATGGAAACACTTTATTCACATCATACGAGTCACGTGATCAAGAACAAGATGTTACTACTGGTGAAAACTACAAAGAAGACGACAACAGGAAGAGGTAAGAGGATGATGTCACAGCATTTTTTAAAATGACTTTTGGCATAAACAAACATATTCATGTGTGATATTTGCGTTTTTTACTTAATGGAAATGGTGCAACTGTGAAACATCAGCAAGATTAGCAACATTAGCGGAATATCAACAACATTTTGCACATATTTGTAATGGAAACGCTGAAATGTTATTTTATGTTTTCTTACGCAAAAATTTGTTGAAATATGGAGACAAATAATGAAAATGTTCAAATGTCAGAAATTTAACGCCATTGTGCTAAAATATGTAAAGATTTTTTATATTGTACGTGTTGATTTTTTTATAAATAAGAAATCAGGAGTTCAGGAGCATGAAAGGGCAAAGGTGTGAAATTACAAAGAGCAAACTCAGAAGTTCAAGTTACGCTTTTAAAGCATGAAGAAAAAAATGTAAACTGATATAATGTGACATTTATCCTGTATAATACAACAACAAAACAAACTATTCTGTTTGTGGAAAACTATGCAAATTACAAAGGGAGCAGGACCTGGTTACACAAGTTTGCACACCTTTAAACTAGAAATGCACCAATCTAGTCAGAGATCAGAACTGGGACGCTATTAAAATTTGACACGTCAAATACTGAAAAATCTAGTTTTCCATACTTCTTTGTAGTTTAATAAGATCTGACGAATGTTCAGAAGGAGAACTTTGGTGCATTTATTGGCAGAATTACGTTGTGCCTTCACTCTTTGCTTTATCGTCTTCAGAAACAATAATCTGAATGGACCAAACTTCAGGAGAGATCATTGCATCTCTGCTTTAAAATAATAGTCTCTTCTAGCTTGAAGCAGGGATTCATAAAGTCTCCGTCCCTCCAGTGACCTCTGACCTTTCCTCTATCTCTCAGTGATCGGCTCCCAGGTTGGCTGATGTTGGATCTGTGCAGCTCGCCTTTAATCGTGTCATAAAACTCGGTCTTGTGTTCTGTGGACTCTGAAATCTGATCGCTCAGGACATCTCCTGGTCTAATAAACGGTTTTTCCAGCAACCTGCTGTTTAATGTAGCTTCCCTTCTCATTACAATAATAATTCAGTCCATTTGTGATCAGGAAAATCTCCAGGTTTCAGCAGATAAATTCATATCCAGCCTCCCAGGTTGAGAGCACTTCCAGTTTTGTGCAAGAACCAATCTGAGGACAGAACTCATCTTAGTCATTGTTGCACAAGGCAGTGAGTCATAATGACAGCCTGACTGTCAGTCCTGCAGACCTGATATAAATATTCCCTCAACAGACAAACCATATTGCATTTATCTCAGTGGTGCAGCTTTCAGGATCCTGCAGCTCAGCTGACTGCTGCTGTTCCCAGAAAAACATATTAAAACTGAACAAAGGTGAAATAAATCTACATACAGTTTGGTAATATATGCAGCAGCATTACTCTCCAGCTCTGAAGGGTTTGGTGCAGAAAGTCATTCGCTACGCTTCATTGAGAGAAGGAGACGGACATGATGAATGATACTCTTTCCTTAATGATGCGACACAGACAGAAAATCTGTGATAAAAGTAAAGATTTTTGGGTTCAGTGACACCTAAACCTGAAGTACAGAGAGAAATGATGGTAACACATTTAGCTGCATGATAAATTGTCCCAGAAGTTACTGCGATTAACTATCATGTTGTTAATTTGAGACAATTTTCATGGCATAATAATGCAAAAACACATTCTCAAAGATCAATAAACTTTAAACTCTAATGAACATTTAACACTGGAACTGGAAGACATTTTAAATATCCAAAATAAATAAACAAAACAACAGAAACAACAAATAAAATGAATTATAAAGTCTCTGTAAACAAAACTGTCCTTCAAAAAAAGAAGCCAGTTGAGACCGAAGCACCAGACTGAAGGCTTCATCATCCAGTCTGTGGTAGAAACAGAGAAACGATAAATCATGCAAATGGAAATTATTGAGCTTGTTTTAATTTATCGTTTAATTAATTGATTAATTGTTTTAATTAATTGTTTATTACAAAGAAGACAGGGCTAAGTTTGTATTTTCCACACTTTGTCAAGTTGCAACCACAAACTTCAACGTCTCTTATTGAGATTTGATTAAATAAACCAACACAAAGTAGAACGCAAATGTGAAGTGGAACAAAGAATATATATAATATTGTAAAATTAAAAACAAAGTGAAAAAGGCGTAAACTTTTTCTCTTCAGGAGTCAATATCTAATAAAGCCCTTCTTTGTGCAAGTACAAGTTCACCAAAATGTAACTTTTTAGTTTACATATAGTTGGCTGAGTTTAGGTAAATCAATTCTCCACATCACCCTGCACACACCATTCTGATAGTGGAACATGGGGGAGGCAGCATCATGCTGTGTGGATGCTTTTCTTTAACTGTTTAATGCAGCAAAATACTTTGAGCAGAATATCAGAAAGTCTTAGGAGAAAACAGTGACAGATCTGCCAAAGTGCAGCTTTTTTCTTTTCATCACAAGCGTCACATGATTAACAACCGGATGTTACTGCTGACAGAAACCACGAAGAAGAAGACAGGAAGTCATCCTATGAACTAGTTCTTATCTGATGAACAAACTTATTCACTTGTGATTTTATTGATTTCTTATTTAATGAAACACCACAAACGCAAAATTGTTTTTCTTTGACATCTGTGAAACACTGACAAAGTTTTGCACATTTGTAATTTAAAAGCAGCTACTATTTTCTAAGAATGCTCTTGTGGTTGGAAAAACTGCACACCACACTTTTCAGATAGTTTTTGTTTGTTTTTAAACCCTTTGTTTGTCCTACTACTTCTGACTTATCCAGTTTGTGTTATTACATCCAAGGTAATTAAAACACATCGATGTTTGTTGTAACAGGGCAAAATCTAAAATAACATAAAAACATTGAAGGAGTATGAATAGTTCATCTCATAACATCCGAGTTTAGAGCAGGAAACCAGGAAACATCCGAACAACAAACCCGCTTCACGTTACTTCAGAACACATTAAACCTGCGCTGGAATTGGAACAACAATGTTTTTGTTTTTTTTTACCTTGTGAAGAACTGAAACCGGACGCAAAGCTGCGAAACCGCCCTGAAAACGCTGAAGACTTCTCCAAAGTCCCGTCCCAACTTCAGCGGCCATCCGAACCGAAGCCATCTTCATCAGCCGCCTCAGCTCCGGAACATTCCGACGGATGGTCAACACAAGCCCGCCACCGGTTCACTTTAAGCCTCCAGCTGCTGGTGTGGATCCCGGGTTAGGTCGGAGCTCCGCAGCATTTCCTCCCGTCAACATCCGCAGCTCCGCAGCCGAACTCTGCTTCCTTTCTGCGGGGTTCGGAGTGTGTCTGGGTGGAGCAGCCAGGCCCAGCCCAGCCCGGGGTGATCCGAGCTCCCGCTGCATTCACGTCACGTCCCGTTTGTTGAAAACTCAGCATTGTTTGACGAAGCAGCACTGCAGCAGAGGCGGATAATAAAATAACGCTGTCCAGGACAGAAACGCATAAAAGCCCCCATTGATCCCTGTATTGCATCTGATAAATAAATATCAATGAAAAACATTCATGTGATCACATGTATATTTTGGGATTATTCAGTCATTTTTTGTGTACTGAAAAATATTAAAGGGGCAGTATTATGTATTTTCCAGGCACATAGTCAAGTAACTATGTCACCTTCAATTATACAAATAATATATAATAATGAATAGAATATACAGAAATTTGACGCTTTGAAATTGGGTCCCAGTCTCTTTAAAAAAAACCCACCTTCATCACAACATGGCACTATTAACCCTTTCACAACATTTTTACCAGCGTTGTTCTGAGCAGTAGCTCCTATAATGAGCTCAGTTCCACCAGCTGTTTCCTAATTGCTGCTGGCTAGTCTGAAGGAGCTGAGTGGAGAGGAGTTGCGTGTCAAAGGCGGGGCTAGGTCCACCCAGGCGTTTTGAATGGTTGCCATGGAGATTAAGGATTTCTGAAACATGCATGAAAGAATCAAAGCAACACTGCAGGAACATTTCTGATGAGGGAATGGCATAAACATGATGTAAAGTCACCAACTGTAACTGGACTGAAACAGAGTTTCATATTTTGTTTGGGTTGTATGAGTTAAACAGTTTAATTTCTGAATGATATTCTGAATTATTTAGGATGAACTTGCTATATTTGTTTAAAAACACATTGGTGTTTTAAATGAACACTCAAGAATAATTCCCAACTCTGAACAAAATGTAAATCTGGAGAAGTCTAATCTAATCCATCCATTAATATTTAATCCTTTAATGAGAAATGAAGCCTGGTTAATCAGATCTGCACTGTGCAACAAGCCTGAATCAATTTAATAGGCACATTCTTCTGCACAGTCGGAAATACTCTGGATTAATTTGATTATCCAGGTTTTACTTTCTGCTAGACATTGTGGATTTAATTATTTGCTGTTCGTTTTTAGCAGCAGTCCCCAGAGCTGCAGGCATCAGCAGCTGGATGTGATCAATACTCCGCCTGTAGCAAAACGATTCCTTCTCCTCAGACTCACCAACATGGCTGATTTAAAATTACATTTGTTCAACTTTTCCCCAACAATCAATGGTGGGAAAATTCAGTGGATGCACTGAAGTCGTCAGGTGGCAGGAAGAAAAGATTTACTGTTAATAAATAATTTTCTTCCTCCTTTTTCTTGTTGCTTTCCAGGTGATTTATCTTCTAGTTTTCTTGCTGAAGGAAAAAGATTAAAGTCCTGCTGATTGAGGTGATATATAGGAAGTATTTTTCAGCAATGACTTGGCAGATGTGCTTTAGCTAATTAAGAAAGTAGCACTTTAGTATAAAACAAGTCTGCTTGCATCAGCATCAAGCTGAAACACAAATATCTAAAGGAAAGACTGTTAGATGAAACCAAGATTTTCACACAAATTACTCCAATAATAAAAACATAACTGGTTAATGAAAAGTGGATTTTTCACTGTAATGCAGAGTTTTTACCCAAAAATGAGCTAAAATAACCTAATCCTGTTCTGAGTGTGTTTCGGTTGATGACATCACAAGAGGCATAATAATTAAGCACATCAGTTGGGATTAATCGACTTGTAACAGTTTTTAAAAATCTTTTATGGTTTCCATTTAAGTTGGACTAATTCACAACACATACAGGTGGAGACATGCATCAAAATGCTCTGCAAACAAACACAATAAAAATACATTTCTGCAGAAAAATGCTGCAAATAAAAAATACTGCAATCGCAGAATATAGAAGAAAAAGGAAAATAGCAAAAACAACAAGAGGAATAAAACTTTGTAAACGTTTGGCAAAAAGAAGAAGGAAGAAAAGCTGTTATCGGCAATACGATACGCCGAATGTGTGTGATAAATCTACAAAACAAAGTGGTGTAATTCAAATATTGGCTTCATGAAAAACACAAGACATCCCTCTAATTTATTTATGTCAAAGATTGAAGCACACTGAGGTAGCATCCTAATTTTAACAACAGCAACAACAGCAGACAATCATACAAAATGTGAAAACGGTGTTACAAAGTAAGAAAAGAAAGAAAATGGAAGCAATAATCTTACTGACATAAATCCTTGTTTAATTACTAAGAACTACCGTAAAATGAAAGCTTGCATTATAATTGACATCACAAAAACAAATTAATTTGAAAATAATGAACGTTATTTTCAAACTGCCACAAAGGCAGCCATCTTTGAAACTTTCCCTCATTTGCATGTTTTTGTTGAGCAGCAGCAGCATTTTTACTTCTGTCTTCAAAAATCTTATTTAGGTAAAACCTCAATAATTTTGTCACTTTCTAATGTGCTCTAGTTAAAGTCCGTCATCGGAAATGATTGAAGTACTGAAAGTGTTGGTACTTGAACTTGAGAATTGATCTTAAAGCATAAAGTTTTGATATTGAAGGTATCAATATTTCAGTATCGATCCTCACACCATTAAAGTCCAGAAAAAAGATGGAGGAAGAAAGAAAAGCAGTGTTATATTTTATGTCTTTTACATTATAAAGCAGCAGCATATCTATGTAGGTAATATTAGCTACTCCAGACTCCCCCTAGTGGCCTGGAGGGCTTCGGTTTTGTGGACCAAATTTTCAGAGTTTTATACAGTTTTTGCAACATTTTCCATTTTTCTTATACTTCCTGAGGTTGTGGGATTTTCTTTAGCATTTGCTTTGTTGATTGAAGGTTTTTGCTTCTATTTTCCAGATCTTCTTTGTTGCATTTTTGTGTGTGTGTTGGAGTTTAGTTTGCACCCTTGTCATGTCAAAGTACTTTACAAAACAGGTAAAATCAAACCACTTATACAGACCGATTCCCAGTCAAGTATATCAATTAAAACTGATGCAAGACATCAGAAAGTGCAGCAATTTCAGTTGATGCACATGGATGCAGAAGCTCGTTTTTTATTTTTGTTGGATTTTCCTGAGATCTGGTTTTTATCTCGCTGCAGAATTCAAGCAAACACAGTTAAAAGGACAAAAAAGACAAGACACGTTTTAGCCGACTTACTCAAAAAAGCTGGAATTTTTTTTAATCCAGATTAGAAAAACATTTAAACAACAAAATAGCCAAATAAATAGAAAAAGTTAAGACATTATGTTCACATACTCACAGTAGCCTTTTTATCATTTATATAAAGTAATAATGTGTTTCAGGTTCTAAACATTGCTGAGGTTTTTAGAAAAAGTATTTTCTCAGAATGAAGGAAACAATCAATTACAGCTGATTAGCCCCATCTAGTGGTGAACAACTGGTAGTGCGTTCAAAATGTATTTATCGTCAATTTAATTCCTGGGTTAGGGTTTCTCCGTGGTTCTGAACTTATTTGAATTTCTGTTGTTTCATCATTAGTGACCAGTAGTAGCCTGATGTTTCTGTTGTTCTCTTGGTTTGTTGTACTTCATGCCTGATGGACTTCAGAGTTTCTCTCTGATGTGGTGAAACTTGTGAGCTCCGCTGTTGAGGGCATGTCTTTGTTGTAAAGCTAAATTATCATGAGTTTTATTATATGGGTCCGGTCACTAGCCCCGACCCCCGGCCCGATGCTGACTTGTTCTGCTACTGCCCAGTAGACTTTGTTCTTGGGTAAAGCTAGTGGTAGCCTAGATGCTATTATTATTTTTAGCTTTTTAGCTAATTTTGGCTTTTTCATTGGTTTTTCACACTGCATGGAATATTTCTTATCTTTCTGCAAATCTTCAGCAGTTGGCTTCAAATGCTTTGCCATTTTCACCAAAAGCACTCAGCATTCACACTTGCATTTTCGCAAGAAATGCACACTTTCTAGTTAAACCTGTTTGCTGCTGTTTCAGTGGTGGTGCTGATGGAGGCGGTCCGGACCGCGGAGCTGAGGCTGATCCGGTGCGACGGACCGCGATAATGATGATCATTTCAGCAGCACATCGCCGCTTTCAACCCCCCGCCGCTCGCCTTCACTTCTCACTTCGCCCCTAATTGACCAGACTGCGTCTCCTGGGCCCCTTTGTTATTATTTATTAATAATTCAGATATAAATAATTCACACCCCTGGAACGGCACTGTGTTAATTAAGCCAGACGGGGTGGCAGTCGTGGTGGTGCGTGTCTGTATCGATGTGTGTGTGTGTGTGTGTGTGTGTGTGTGTGTGTGTTTAGGACTTGTCCGTCTTTGAACAGAATGTCGCAATCTATTGTTGTATGGAAGACGACATACAGTAAAATGTGATTTACATTTTTTTGTTTAAGCTGCACCATCAAAAATAACTAGTAAGTATCAATGAATAACAAAAGTGTTTTTCTCAGTAGACAACCTGCTGAGACCCACAGAAGTCAAACTAAGATTCAAATGTTGCTTAGATATGCGTTTGGTTCAGAGTCACAGATCTAATCTCCGCTACAACTTTACAAAAACTTAAGGCTCTGACTAAAAACAAGTTTTAATAAGTAACTCCACTTAATAAAATTCCTCAAATATTGATTTATTGCAGTGATTCTCAATGCAAGACATGTGTTAAATTATAACTTATGTTGCTTTAAACTTTTATTTATTTTTCATGTTAAAACCTATAAATATGTTGGAATTGAATATTTGGGAAGTATCATAACTTAAACTTAAAGGTCAGCACCAGCGTTTTCTAGAAAAATATTCAGAATTTATTTTGTGGTTTTAAAGGCTCTACGTTGAAGATGGTAAGAAATAAAGGCATACTTTATTTTTTTACTGCCAGCTGCAGTTGCCCCTCTGCTCTCGGCTCCCATACAGAGCTATCGGCTAATGCTCTGCCGCTCCCTCCAGTTTCAAACTCTTATTAAAGTAAGAGTTAGAGAGCTAAATATAACTGAAATATTGGCTGCCTTCGACAGAAAAAGGAGCTAAGTCTAT